CGCAATTGAAATTATTTGGATCCTGTCCAGGGTTGTTTGCGCTTTCGCACGCTTCCACCATGAGGACCGGTGATGCTGTTTTTGGTGTTGGGGGCCCTGATAACATGCTTCACTATAAGCGCTGCTCGGTCCTCAAGACATTGGTTCGCCAGTGGGTCCCAGGTGTCTTTAACTTGCCCGCAGCGTGGGAGATGATCTCGAGGGCGAGGACTCCTGGTTCAGCCTGCTGAGTATCTTGGGGTCGAAATCGGGCAGAGATCGGGGCGTGTCTGCCGCTGCTTATTCTGGCGCCGCCCTGAAGGCGCGCGCCCGCCACCGGTCTCGGCGCCGCCTTGAGTCCATCCCAGGTCTTTCATGCCCGTCTGAGGCTTCTTGCCAGGGTATCCATGTTTTTTGTTTTGTGTGTGTGTGTGCGTTTTCGTTTTTTGTTTGTTTTGTTTTATCTTCCCCCTTCTTCCGACAGGGTTTGAGGTGCGTGTCTCTGAATTGCTTGTATGTCCTTCCTATTCCTGCGTCTGCTCCCCGCTTTCCTCTTCCTCTCTTCTCGGCCTCGTTCTGTACACCCACTTGTCCATTCTTTACACACTCGTAGTCACCATTGCGCCGTGCCTGACCGTCATGGTATCGATGGTGACTCCTTTGCTAGTCCCCCTTAATGCCCAATTTAGATGTTGTCTGTCTGTTTTTCGGTGTCCTCAAAAAAGTTTCCCGGGTGATCCCATGACGCCTCCAACGGTGGACTTCGTTGCGTGACAGAGTACGTTGTGGGCTGAATTTAGCAGTGCATGCGCCTGCAGGCGTGCCAGTCCTCGCAATAGGCTGTGCGCCGCAGCCTTGCCATGGGCTTCCTTACGCGGGACGTTTCGCAGCGTTTTTGTAGGAAGTCAAGCAAAGGCTTGTTTAATTATGTTGCAGGAGATTTTGAAACAGTCCGATCTGGGCTTTGCCGCTGAATTCCGGTGATTGCCCTGTGCAGCTCGCGCGTTGCAGCTTCGTCTCTTCCGCGTGTACAGTATTGCCACACAAGACAGCGAATTATCTCAAGTGTGCCCGCCATGGCACGTGTGCGTTTTGGCGTGCGAGATACGACGCGTTCTTCGGACACGCATCTCAAACCGTAGGAGCTACCGTTTGCCTGCGGCAGGTCCTGTCGCCGTGCCGACTGTTCGAGTGTCATGGGTGACCGTCACGTGGGACATCTCGAATCCGCAGGCATGGGGGAATCCTCGTGCGTTATGGGGATGATAAGGATGATGCTGCTGCGGAAAAGGAGGAAGATGAGGATGAGGAGGAGAAGGAGGAGGTGAAGGATGGGGGGAGGAGGAGGAGGAGGATGTGGAGGAGGAGTAGGAGGAGGACTGTGATAGAGAGAGGAGGAGGAGGATGAGGAGGAGGAGGAGGAAGAGGAGGAGGAGGAGGAGGAGGACGAGGAGGAGGAGGAGGAGGACGAGGACGAGGAGGAGGAGGAGGAGTATGAGGAGGAGAAGCAGGAGGAGAAGGACGAGGAGGAGGAGGAGGAACATGAGGAGCAGGAGGAGGAGGAGGAGGAGAAGGAGGAAGGCCGTCACAAGTGCTTTTTTTCGTTTTCACTTCTCCAGGAACTCTCATGGAGCTCATGTGGGCCGTCCTGGGATGTCTTGGGTTCCTGCAGGGCAGTCTTGGGGGTCCTTGGGGATCGTTTTGGGCCCTTCGTGGGCCTTCTTGGGGTCCTCTCAGGCCGTATTGGGCCTCTCTTGGGCCGTCTTGGCCCTATGGGGGGTGATTTGGGGCCGTCGTGGACGTGTTGGCGCCGCCTAAGGCCTTCGAAACGCCTTTGCGGCCGTCTGTGGTCTCTCCGGAGGCTCTGTTTGGGAGGTTTCGAGGCCGACTTGGAGGCCCTTCGGGCCATCGCGAGGTCCTTTCGGGCCGTCTTGGGACTCTCTCAGGGCTTCTTGGGCCGTCTTGGGGCCATTTTGGATGCTTTGTGGGTCGTCTTGAGCTGACGGAACCCGAAAAAGCGAGAATGGGAAAACCATTCAAAAGCATTTTGGATTTTTCTGGTCTTGACTTTGCGGACCCTGTCAGGGGTCCTGCTTTGTTTGGCCCTCCTGGGCGCTCGTGGAGCCGTCTTTGGCCTTGAGGCCACATTGGGCTGCCTTTGGGCCATCGTGGGCTGCCTTCTTGGCGGCCATCTTGGCGGTCTCCGTTGCCTGCCTGGGCCGTCTTGGAAGCTCGGGTGCGCGAGTCCACGGATCGTGGCCTCGGGAGCGCGGGCCATTTATTGGTTAAGGAAATTGTGGCTTCAGCAGGGGGGGGCGTTGCATGCACATGACCGTGGTGAGGAGCGGGGGGTTCGTAGCAACATGTCGTTCCTAACCTTCCCTTCGCTGCATCGGCGTCTCGATCCTTGGGCTTCAGGACAGCGCACTTTTTCAAATCTTCCCAGTACCCACTTTTGCCCGGGGGTCCCGGAGCCGTTTTCGGGTTGCGCCAAGGGCGGTTTCGGCTTCAAGAGGCTTCCAAGATGGCTTTGGAGGCGGTCAAGACGCCAAAGGATGGTCCACGATGCGATTCAATATAATTCCAGGGCGCCCCCAAGAGACCACAACATGCCTTGAGAGAAGTGAATCTATGGGTAAGTGGTAGCGTGGGCCCTAAACACTAAGTTATTGCACTGTTGTCGTGTAGACTATGTGGTATAAGCCATGTGGTGCAAGACGCGTGGTGTAAGCTGTATGGTGCAATGTGGTGTAAGCCCTGTGGTTTGGCGGCAACGTGCGGCAACGTGGCGAAACCTCGGCGGACCTCCCAAGCGCTGTGGGCTGCAAAGGGGCGGCAGCGTGACAAAGCCTTGGCCACACCTCGCCGGAACCACCCAGCGAACGGGGCGGCCACGGGGCGGCCACGGGCGGCAACGTTGCAAAACCTTGCGGGTCCCATCCAGCGCACTAAGCGGCCTGCAGGCGGCAACGGGTGGCAACGTGGCTAAACTTCGCTGCGCCCGCCCAACGCACGAGTTGGCCACCAGGCGGCCACGAGGCGGCCACGAGCGGCACATTGGCGAAACCTCGCCAGACCCACCCAGCGCACAAGGCGGCCACGAGGCGGCTACGGGCGGCCACGTTGCGAAACCCCGGCGGTCCCACCCAGCGCACGAGGCAGCCACGAGGCGGCCACGGGCGGCAACAGGAACCCCTGAGTGCAACCGCTGTTAGGGCAACAGTTTTTGTTCGTGTTTGCCGTGGTTCCCTGCCTGTTCTCCTATGGCCCTACGCCTCAAAACTCTCAGACACCACTGGAACGCACCAGTATGACCCCAACACAGCCCAAGGGAGTCTCAGAAAGTTCCCAAGAGGGCCCCCACAGCCGTGGGGGCACGTGGCAACGCCTGGCGGGGACCGAAGAGCTACTATTCCACTATTCGTCACGTGGCAACGCGGCGGGGGCCAACACAAAAATACTAAGCCACCTCACACGCAACGTGGCAACGCCTGTGGGCGCGAAGAAACATTATTTCATCCACTCTACATGGCAGCGCCGCGGGGGCCAGAACAACACTATTCCACAATTCACCACGTGACAACATTGTGAGGGTCGATCAACCAGCACTGTGCCGCTCCACTCGCCACGTGGCCACGCCTGGAGGCGCAAAGGAAACGTATTCCTTTCTAATCGTCACGCGGCGGCGCCGCAGGGGCCGGCCAAAATCATTATGCCACGACGACGGCGAGGACGACGACGAGAACGATGACGACGATGGCGGCGTCGAGGACGAGGGCCAGGGAGGCGAACAACAATTCTATCATTCTCATCGTCCTCTTTCCTCCTCCCTGCCTTCTCCCTCTTCTATCCTCCCTCCTTCCTCCCCTTTCCTCCCTCCTTCCCCTCGCCTCCTCCCTCCTCCCCCCTCTTCCCTCCTTTACTCCTCATCCTCCTTCCCCCCCTACTCCCTCCTTACTCCTCCTCCTTCCCCCCCCCTTTACCTTCCTCTCTTCTCCTTGCTCCTGTCCTCCTTCCCCTCGCCCGCGAGTTACTGAAATGCAGTGTATTGCAATTGCAATGCAAATGCAAATGCAACGCAGTGCACTGCAATGCAATGCAACAGGATGCAATGCACTGCAATGCACTGCACTGCACTGCACTGCAATGCAATGTAACACAATGCAATGCAATGCAATGCCATGGCATGCAATACCATGCAGTGAGGTGCAACGCAACGTAACGCAACGCAGTGCAATACAATGCAAATGCAACGCCATGCAATGCAGTGCAGTGCAGTGCAGTGCAGTGCAGTGCAGTGCAGTGCAGTGCAGTGCAGTGCAATGCAGTGTTGTGCAACCAGGCAGCACTAGGCGCCCGCCAGCACGTCTGCACTCCCGCTTGCTCACCCGCCCGCCCGCTCGCCCCTCCGCGCGTGCCTCCCAACCATTCCATTCCATTCCATTCCATTTCATTTCATTCCATTCCAGTCCAGTCCAGTCCATTCCATTCCATCCCATTCCGCTCCATTCCTACCCATCCACTCCTCCCTTCCATTTCATTCCGTCCATTCCATTCCATTCCGTCACGTGGGTCCCTTCCCGCGCCCCGCGCCCCGCCCCGCAGCATTTTGGGCCCATCGGTGTGGAACATCCTCAAGAAAATGCACCGTGAAGGGCTGGTTGGCTGGTTGGTTGGCTGGCTGGCTGGTTGGCTCCCCGGTTGCCGGGTGAGCCGGCGTCCAGAGCCCAATTTTGGCACACCCCAGGATCGCGCCCAGGGGGCCGAAAAGTGTGTTCTCGACCGGATTTGTTTTTCAGACCCGTAGTTTTATTGTTTGGCCAGACATCAAGTTGTGTGTTGACCTGCGACCCCCGCAGAGACCCCAGAGCAGCTCAACACGGCCTTAGAGAGCTCCAAGCAGCCCAAGCAAGACTATCGTCGCCGTCGTCGTCGTCGTCGGCGTCGTCGTCGTCGGGATTGTCGTCGGGATCGTCGTCGTCGGGATCGCCGCCCTCGTTGTCGCCCTCCCCTTGGCCGAGGCCCCTGACGCGCTGGGCGCCGCGGGACCCGTCGCGGCGCCGCTGCCAGACCTGCTTGGCCCAGACGCGGCGCCCGCCGCGCCGGACCGTGCGAGCCCGTCGCCCGCCGTGCAGGACGGCCGCCCGACGCCTTCGGGGGCCGAGGGCCCCTCCCTGACTTCAAGGGGGCCTCGGAGCTTCCTTCCTCCTCTTCGCTCCGCCTCCTCCTCCTCCTCCTCCTCCCCTTCCCTCCTTCCTCCTTCCTCCTCTTTCCTTCCTCCTCCTCGTTCATCCTTCCTCTTCTCCTCCTCCTCGGCCTCCTCCCTCCCCTCCCCATCCCCCTCCCCTTCCCCCTCCCCTTCCCCATCCCCCTCTTGGTGGTGGTCGTGGTCGTGGTCGTGGTCGTGATCGTGATCGAGGTCGTGGTCGAGGTCGTGGTTGTGGTCGTCGTGGTCTTGGTCGTGGTCGTGGTCGTGGGCGTGGGCGTGGTCGTCGTCGCCGTCGCCGTCGTCGTCGTCGTTGTGGTCGTCGTCGGCGTCGTCGTCGGTGTCCTTGTCCTCGTGCTCGTCCTCGACCTCGACCTCGTCCTCGACCGCGACCTCGTCCTCGTCCTCGTCCTCCTCTACGTGTGTCTTCCGTAGTCTCTATAGTGTCGTCGTAGTTGTGGTGGTGGTGGTGTCGTTGTCCTTTGCTGTCCGTCTTTTACCATCTGTCCTTGTTGTCTGTCTGTCTGTCGTCGTCGTAGGAGGAGGAGGAGGGTTTGGGAAGTGCTGGGTGCTCCCGGGTGTTTGAGTTGCTCGTTTGGGTGGCATGGCCGTGGGTGCTGGGGTGGGTGAGGTGGTGGGAACTCCTCAGGAGGAAGGAATCTGGGGCATCCTCGGGCGGTTGGGCCCCCCGTCCCACCCCAGCGATGAAAGAGCGGCCGCCAGACGATCGATCTGCTCGGGCTGGAGTGACCGTGGCGCCTCCCGCGCTGCCCGCGGCGCCCGCGCTGCCCAGGCGGTGGCCCGTGGGGCCGGAGCGGCCACCGCCGAGCACCACGGGCGCGAATCGCGCCGCGCCGGGAGCCCGCGGCCGCTCGGGAAAGCCTGCGCGGGCCGGGGTTCAGGTGGGAGGCGACCGCGGTCGTCGGGGGTGCGCCGGGGAGGGGGAAGCGAGGAGGAGCGGGCCTTCTCAGAAGGCCGCGGGGCTTCTCAGAAGCCCTCTGGCCCTCTGAGAAGTTGTCTGTGTCTTCGGGGGAGGCTCAGACAACTTTGCAGAAGGCCCGAGGCCCTCCGAGGCTTCTGAGGCACACCCCGTCTCCTGGCCCCCAGGCTCGCCACCGAAGTCGGCAACCCGTGGAAGGCACGTGGGGCCCTGCGAGACCTCGGAGCTCGGCTCGCTGCTGGACGAGTCCAAAAGTTCCCGGCTGCAATTCTCCCGCCCTGACACTGCCCCTGAAGCGGGGCTCGAACCCCCGATGCCGCGGAGGGGGTGCGCGGCGCGAGAGTCCAGTGCGCGGAGCGCGGCCGCCCCCTCACTCTGCGCTGCTCTGGGCGCGCGGGAACCTCCCCTATCCCCACTGGGCTCCCGTATCTCAGCCCCGCAGGCCCACCCTCGCAGGCGGGGATAGGACCCGCAGAACCCGAAGGAACAGGCATACATCATATTTCTCCACCTCGGAGGGGAAGGCGGCTAGTGGGGCCAAGGCCACGCCCCAGTGGGATCGGGATCGGTTAAACGATGTTCACGTAACGGGGAACAGTGTTAACGGGGATCAGCCAATCGTGGCCCCGGCTGACGGGGGATCGGCGCCGCTGGGGGTCAGCCCGCCTGGGTTCGCGACATGGCCCTGGCTTGCCCAGGTCGGAAGCGACGACAGGGGCGGAGAAAGCTGGCACACAGGGTTCGCAGCAACCCTAGCCTTGGAAGGGTATCCTTAGGGCATTACGCGTACTCCTGGCGTCCCAGAGGCGTTCCAAGATTTCTTAGACGCTGGAAGGGCTTCTCAGAAGACCCCCAAGTCTTAGCAGGCTGCCCCCCCTCCCGCCACCCCTTGGAGCTAAAACACCTATCCGTGATCATGCCCTTGCGGTCTGGATACCGAGGCGCGATTCCACGGATGCGTGATCGCATGGATGCGTTCCGCGTGGGGCATCCGCGCAAGGCCGCCCCGTTATCAGACGGGTTTCAGGAGTTAGCGTTGGAATCCGAACAGCTAGTCAGCCAGTCGCCAACCGTGTACGAAGCGGATATTCGCAAGCCATGAGAAGACACATCCAATTTGGACATATTCTCAGACAGTTGTGAGGGAATCTCGAGCGACCGCCTCATTTCCGAGAAAGTTGTGCGGACGTCTTTGTAATTAGTGTTGGTTTTCGTATTTGACATCATGTGGGGTCTTGCAGTTGGGCTGCTTTTTGGGCAAGTCCAGTGGGGAATGTGTAGCATTGTGATTTCGACTTAGACTACTTCCAGGGTATCTGTTCTGTTTCCCTGGCATCTTCGTCTTGTGTGTACTGTGTCTTCGGACCCGCACCGTTGGATCACTCAATCGGACAGGAAGGGGATCACAGAAGTGTTGCTTGGTATCGCAAGCCCGGGCTCAAGAGTGTTTGTGAGGCTCAGGTGGCCTGTGGTGTTTGTGGGACCCTTCGGCGCAAGTGGTGTTGGCCCACATGGCGATGACCACCCCTGCGGCGATGTCCGAGGGCTACGAGGACTTTGCTGCGGTGCGCAAGGTGATCGAGGACAAGCTGCACCAGGAGTACTACAGCGTGACGACGAAGGACCTGCCGCCGCGCATGCAGCCGCGGCAGGGACCTACTCTGCAGGACGCAGGGAAGGTCGACTGGGACGACTACAAGTCGTGGCCGTGGATGCAGCCAGGGTGGATCGGGGGACGTTAACTCATCACCTTACCGACCCAGGCCGATCTTGGCGGTGTCTGTGCTTCCCATGGTAAGCCAGTGAGGCTTACACACCCACCGACCCTGGTTGGGCCCAGGATGGGCTTAGCCAGGCTCGGAGAGGTGGTCACAGCTGACCTCTCCCAAGGTGGAAGGGCATCAAGATGCACTCCCAGTGCGTCATCCTCCCGGACGGCTCCGCCGAGGTGCGCAGCGTGTGGAAGTGACGCCCCTGCAGGGGGCGCCCTTCTTCCCCCCGACGCCCCCCGGGCCTCCGCTCGGCAGCCAGGGGCTATGCTCGGTGCCCTCGGCAATCGCCTGCTTTCGTCATGGCTCACCCCCGAGAATGCCTTTATTCATTTGGGACCCTCGGCGCGTGCCAGATGGCTTTCATGTCGGTGATTGCCGGCACATAAGAGCGAGCTGTACCAGCAACGCATGCGTGGGCTTTCGCGACCTACAGAGTATATCGCTTAGGCTTCTGCGATTGCGGCGGAACAAAATTGCGGCTGAGTTCTGTGTATCGAAGGCGCCTACGGCGAATCAGCGCTGCCCCGTGCCTTTGTAAACGCCCATGCGGCCGGACGTTGTGGCCAGAGCTTGGAAAAGCTATCGGACTATGTCTTCCTCCCAGCCGTAGTGGAAATTCTTGACGCTTCGCGTGTCCCCACCAGCCCATCCAGAAACGATGTCCAGGCAAGTTGAAGAGATCAGGGAAGTGGGGGAGCAACGAGAGGGACAGCCGATCCGTGCAAAGGATGAGGCGGAAGAGGAGGCCAGATGGATAGATGAGGGGGTGGCGAGGAACCGAGCGAAGGAGGGATGAGGAGAATGATGACGCTGGGTGGATGGTTGAATGCCGCTCGGATGCCTCTTGGAAGCCTTTTGGAAGCCTCTTCGGACGTCTTGGGGGTCTCTTGGCGGTCAATGGGGGCTCTTGGGCGTCTTGGGTGCTTCGGGGGGCCTCTTGAGGCCGCTTGGGATCCTCTTGGGGGGCTCTTGGGGGCCTGTTGGAGGCCTCTTGGGGCCTCTTGGGGGTCTCTTGGAGCTTCATGGCGGCCTCTTGGAGCCTCTTGGAGGCCTCTTGGAACCATCCTGGGAGCCTCTTGGGGGCTTCTTGGGGCCTCATGGAAGCCTCTTGGGGCCTCTTGGAGGCCTTTTGGAAGCCTCTTGGGGCCTCCTGGGCGCCTCTTGGGGCCATCTTGGAGGAGATCGATCAAAGAAGAGGGTGGGGTTAATTAGCCTTGCCCCCCCAAGAGGCCAACATGGGGCCAAAACCTTAGTAAAACCGATGATTTCGGCTTCCTCGCCGAGGCCGTTTTGGACGCTCTAACTACCAGCGCCCCCCCCCCGTCCAGGTCCAGGGGAGGGGGTTAGGGGGAGGGGTAAACCCCTCCCCGAAGGGGAAGAAGGGAAGATGGAAGAGGAAACTCCCGGAACCACCTACGCCCAGAGGGCTTGTGGGATTCTTGACGTTTCGCGTATCCCCACCAACGCAGGTGCACTCTGCGCGGTGTCGCGCCAATTATCTGTCGCTGTGCCCCAGCCTCGGTCATACCGCCCTCTGGACTTCTCCTTGCGGGCCGCGAATCAAAAAAATATCCCCACCAACCGTTCGGCTTGTGCAGGTCGGCAAGGAGTCTGGCGCCGCCCTGGCGACTCACTTCGCTGCATCCGCACATTCTTCTCGGCGGCCCGATCACTTCGGTTCGGGCTGCTGCGCCTGTGTGCGTTTGCCCTGTGAATTTAGTTCATTTTGTTTTGTGCACGTGCAACTGCGAATGTGTCTTGCAGGTGCAAGCTGTCCGCCGACTCTGGCGGCTAGGTTTGCAGATTCGCCTCGTACCGTGACCCGGACGCCGCTTCCGCTTCCTTTCCGTTGCATCGGAGCCGCCGGCCAACAAACATATTCCCACCAGCTCTCACCCCCCTGCTCATCAGGGGACCTGCCCGCTGGGCTGACCGGTCCCGGGACCACCCACTTTGCTGTCTAACGGCGACAGCCACTCACCCTCCGATGACAGGGGGACGTCGGCAGAAACAACCCCCCTTGCGCGCCAGCCAACCGGCGTGTTATTTCAGGCCACAGTTTTGGCTGCTTCGGCTCCAGCGGCGAGTAACTGCGACCCCCCAGGACCCACCTCCGGGGACGCATCTCGCTGCTGGCCCACATCCTCCGCGTTGACTGCGGCCCTGGTGGGCCGTCACCCGTTCGCACACATTCAACAGAGACCTCAGCGGCGATTAGCTGCGACCCCCACGATGTGCAAAATAGATCCTAGCGGCGATTTGCTGCGACCCCATTTTCCACGCAAGTACTAGCGGCGATTAGCTGCGACCCCCAGGACAATCCAAGTGGCAGACCACGGCCCTTGGCCCACGGCTGCAGGGTACCGGGCCGTGGGGTGAGGCGTTGCGCCCCCTCGCCTCTCCCCTCCCGGGCCCGGTGGGTGTCCCCCACCCGTGGCTCCGGGGCTCGCCCGACGCTGCACTTGCGTCTGTGCTGAGACCCCCCCCCTGTTCGCGTCGTGGTCCGTGCTGCTCGTGGTCCTGCTCTGCACCCCCAGCGACAGCTTCCACGGCCCAGAGGGGGTCACGTGGTGCGTGTTGGCGCTAGCGCTCAGGGGGAGCGCCTTGCGACAGTCTGGGTTGGCTGGCCACCTCAGCTTCACGGCAGCACCCCCCCCCAGGCAGGCAGCGCAGACGTCACCACCACCACGCGTGCCGACCATCACCATCCGACGGCGGTGCTCCCCACGCGAGCGGAGTCCCCTGCTTCAGGAGGCGGCACCGCGCAGTCGTGCTTTGGGGCCCAGCCGCTCGGCTCTCCCCGTGGCACTGTGATGCGGATCACTGAGGTCTGGGCGCTGAGTGGTTCAGCCTGCAATGCCTGTACAGCCTTTGGTTTTCCCCGCTGTCGCGCACTGTTCTGGTCCCGGCCGCTCAGCCGCTCGGCTTGTGCAGGTCGGCCGCGGAAGTCTGGCGCCGCACTGGCGACTCCCTTCGGGGCATCCTCACTTTCCCCGCGCACGGCGGCCTGCCCACTGTGGTTTGGAATGCTGCGCCTAAGTGCGTTTGCCTTTAGAATTCTGTTCATTTTGTTCAGTGCGTATGCAGGTGCGAGCTGTCTGTCCGCCGACTCTGGCTGGCGGCGAATTGTCTTGCAACTAGCCCCGTACCGTGACCCGGACGCCGCTTCCGCTCCCTGTCCGTTGCCTTGGAGCCGCTGACCAAACAAAGTATCCCCACCAGCGAGGCCGGAGGCCTTGCCGGCACGCACTGCGTGGCTCACAGTCGCTCGGTTCCCCCTTGCGCTGTGGGGTGGTCTGACAGGCGTTGGCTTCGTTACGGTGTGGTTCAGCCTTCCGCAGCAGGTGCAGCCTTCAGGCTCACCTTCAACTTTCCCCAGCTGCGTTGCACCACGGCTCACGACTGCTCAGCCTGTCTGGCTAGCTCAAGTCGTCAGGGCTTTTGGAACCTGGCGCCCCACTGGCGACTCATTCCAATGGCCTCCCACTTGCCATCACTCAGCACCACGACTTGGCCATCCTGGTTCACGTCTCTACTGTGTGGGTCGTGCCATGGCAATCACCGAATTCCGTGACATTTTGTCCTGTGCACGCGCTCGAGCTCCCAGGATGCCGTCCGCCGTCAGCTCCCCTTTTCAGCTTCGCGGCTGCTGTGTGAGTGGGCCGGCCTGCCCGTGCCTGTTGTAGCTAATTCGCCTAGTTCGCGTCCCGGACTTTGCTCTTGCCGCCTGGCCTTCGTGTCGCGGCCGCGACCACAAAAAAAAATCCCCACCAGCCCCGGTGGCGACAAGGTCCTGTAGCGTACCTGGCGATTTGCTCCCATGGTACCCACACCAGGTCCGACAGTGCTTGCACCCATCCGACTCTTTTCTCCTGTCTGCGTGCTGACGGGCCTGGGTTTTTGACCGTCAGGCGGTGAAGCCTCGCTGGTCGGACGCTTGAGCGGTATCCTACAGCCCAGACCACGACGTCTCCTGGCGTGCAGGTTCAATTCACCCTGATGTTCCGTCTGGGTCTCGCATGCATGCGGCATGCAGCCCTGGCCGCTTGCAGCCAGCTCAGCCAGTTCAGCTTCAGCCGGCTGCCCACCCGGCGGTCGGTTCTGATCCCGCGTTCGGTCGTTGTTTAATTAGGCTCGCGCGTAGCCCGCTCGACATTTTCGGGCGTTTCTTGCGCTTTCGCTTGCGGCCGCGACAGAAAGATATCTCCACCTGCCCATCAATAGTTGATTTGCCAGCTTTCTTGAGGCCTCTTTGGAGGCTATCTTGAGCCATGCTCGGCTAGAGGCTGTCGGGGGCTATCTTGAGCCATGCTCGGCTATTTTGGGCCATATTGAGGCTGTCTTGAGGCATTTTGGAGGTCTGTCGGAGGCTATATTGAGCGATGTTTGGCTATCTTGGGGCGCTCTTTCGGCCACGGCTGGATCCTGTTGGAACCTAGGGGGGGAATTCCCCCCCCCCCATTGGAGGCTCTCAAACGGCATCATGGGGCCCTCTTGGAGCGCTGTTGGCGGCCTTTTGGGCGATCTTGGGGCCGTCTTCGGCCTTCTTGGGCCCCTCTTGGGTCTCTTTTGGGCCATCTTGGGGCCATCTTGAGGCTTCCAAAGCCCATCGGGAGCGAAAAGGCGATAATGCCGAACACATGGATTTCCCCTAGGCTTTTGAACAATTTTGGTATCTTGGAGGGCGCCGTGGAGGGCTCGAAAGACACTTGGATCCGTCTTGGGGCTGCCTTGGGACCTGTTGGGGGTATGTCGGAGGCTATCTTGACCCATATTGAAGTAGCATGGGCCATCTTGGAGGCCATCTTGCGATTTCGAAGCCCTCTTGGAGCAATCTTGGGCCATCTTGGACTCTCTAACGCCTCGGTACCCCCCCCTTTCCTGGCCCAGGGGAGGGGGTAGGGGGAGGGGCTTCAGTGGAAGAGAGAAGACACACGCGCTATACCACCTAAGCCCAGAGGGCTGGTGGGACTCTTCGGGGAACATGTGGGATAACGAAGAAGAGGAGGAGAGATCTCTTCGGGCTTTCCTGACTGTTCTCTCGGACGCCTCGTGGGTCGCCTCGGAGGCCTCTTTGGAGCTTCTTAGGGTGCTCTTAGGGCCGCTTGGGGCCTGGCGGCCGTTTGGAGGGGCCCCTCTCGGGGTCGTGATCGGGACCTTTGGGCTCTTCTCGAGGGCGTCCTTCGCCGTCTTGGGGCCCTCCCTGGGCCATCCTTGCGGCCATCTTGGGGGCATTTTGGGCCGTCTTGGGGCGGTCTTGGGGGCCCCTTGGGTAGTCTTGGAGCCCTGGAAGCTCGAAAGGGCGAGACCGCGAAAGTCTGTCAAAAGCGCGCGGGAAATCAATGACTTAAGAGGCTTTCTATGCCGTTCTCGTGCGGTTAGCCGCTTCCCGTCGTGCTGCCTGCGTGCAACGGTTCATGACCTGTTCTCGTCCTCTGCGTTTGCTGCGGGGCTTCGTGGGGGCCTCTTGGAGTTCCCCGGGGGCGGCCTCGTCGGACTCTTATTCAGGTCTCCACGCATCGCGCTTCGAGCCCTCGCGATTCTTTACTGGTGCAATCAAGCCGAGGCCCCGGGTTTGCCTCGTCCTCCTCGTCATCTAGGGGGTTGATG